TTCAATTTCTTTCTTTATTATGCACCCCATACCCATCCCGTGGGCGGTGGTGTAAAGGATTACAGAGCACGCGGAATATTGCCACCTCTTTCACCTGTGTCAACTTTGAGGGAGTTTATGGCTTGTAAAGGAACAACTCAACCCTTTCGTTTGATATATATCGTCAGGTTAGTTTTTTTTCCAGTGAGTTCGGTTAAAAAAAAAAACATTCCTCCCCGGCGGGGAATCGAACCCCGGTCTCCCGCGTGACAGGCGGGGATACTCACCACTATACTACCGAGGACTTGAAGACAAGACAATTGTGTCTTTATCTATAGATTTGTCTATCTATACTCTGTTTTATTGGCTACATAATTTACTTTTTTTTTTTTTTTTTTTTTTTTGAGATATATACAAGAGTTGATACATTCTTGTACAGCCACTAGTACGCGTAGCGTTTCGGGCAAGTCCTTAATCCTATGGTCCCTGGAATACGATCCCCTGCCGCGAAGAATCGTTTTTTCATCCAAGTACACATTTTACTGTTGCGTTAAACAGAGGCTACAGTTAAGGAATTGCGCCCAGTAAATCCTCCCCGGCCAGGATACGAACCCATGACATAGCGCTCGCGGAACGCCAGGCGAGTGTCTTACCACTACACCACGGAGACTGCTAAATACTAATACTTTGTGTATTCCTTCATGTATGATGTTTCAAAGATATTTTGTATCGATAAAAATGATTATGATATGGTTTCATAGTACAGTTGGCTTAGTTCTCGACTTACAATCTGGGATCTCATGATCGATTCCCGGGATTGGCAGAAATGGTTGGGCACGTTTCTTTTCACCTAATGCTTCTGTTCATCTAGCAGTAAATAGGTACCCGGGAGTTAGGCAACTTGGGGTGGGGGGGAAAAGAACCTCGATATAAGCCTAAAGTATATGTGTATATATTCACATGCTTCCTGTCCCCGACAAAACGAATTAATTTAGATTTAGAAATTTTATTTACCAGTGATTTATAAACAAATCTAACATTTATGGAGTGAGTGGACAGGTGTCATAGATCCATCCCACAACAGTCTACTTACTCTCCTACACCTCCAGCCTCTTCCCTACCTCTCCAACCCCTCCTTTCCTACCTCTCCATCCCCCCCTTCCTTACCTCTCCACCCCCTTCCCTATGTCTTAACCCTTTCCCACCCCACATCCCCCCCTTCCCGATATCTCCACCTCTTCCTACCTCTCCACCTCTTCCCTACACCACTCCAACTCCACCTTTAACAAGCTAGACGGTGTGCTCATTCACACTCACAGCACCACTCCTGTGCCAGGTAAGCCCACCACGGGCTCACTATCGCCCGTGCTACTTGCCCTGTTCCTGTACCAGGCAAGTTACTGGCTCACCATAGCCCGTGCTACTTGGAATTTGTTCCGAATAGCTGAATCTATAACAACATTCATTCACAGGACGACTGACTACATACACAATTTTCTTCCCTTCTGACCCCTGCCAAGTGCAACATAGTCGAAATGGCTTGGCGCTTTCCCCTTGATAATTCCCTCCCCCTTTCCTTTCCGGGAAGAACACAATTCAGTCAACAAATAGAGCAGGCATTAGTAGCTGGAAATGTGACGTCACAAGGGCCCCCGTTTGTCTAAGGGGATGCACCAGAAGGACCCCATTGGTCCAGCGGAGGGTACCTGAACCCCCATTGGTTCAGGGGGGCTTGTTTTTTAAATGGAGGCGACGAGCCTCGGGCAATACGTGACCTTCACTATTCACTACAACCTCCCTTACTGGGCACCCTCACCATACTACCCCGAGCCTGAATGTGTACACTTGCACGCAAGCATGCACGCACACGCAAGCACGCACGCACGCACACGCAAGAACTCACGCACGCACATACACATCCAACCTGTCAGTGTAAGGGGTGGTTAAGAAATGGAATGCATTAGGAAGTGATGTGGTGGAGGCAGACTATATACACTGTGTCAAATAGAGATATGGTAAGAGCCCAGTAGGCTCAGGAACCTGTACACCAGTTCATTGTCAGCTGAGAAGTAGGACCAAAGAGCCGAAGCTCAACCCTTGCAAGCACAATTAGGTGAATACATACTTACATACATATACACGTGCGAACAAGCCTGAATGGTCCCCAGGCATACATGCAACTGGGGTGTGAGTTTTCAGTATACATATACACGTATCTGAAAATGATGCAACCCCCTGGTCTATACAATGTGGTGAACTACGAACTCAAATTCCTGAGTAATAATGCTTTAGACATTAGATTTTTTCAATCTTATTTAAATATTTGTGATGAGGATTTCTTAATTTAATTGTCAGGGGAAAGCACCGAGACATTATGACTTTATAGCACTTTGAGGATTTCTTAGTAATAGCCTATTAAATGGAGCCTGTTTGATTTAGTAGAGTAAGATTATTACAAAACTGTGCGAATGACAGGAACCTGTCTGAAATATTAGGCAAACCACTCTGACTCTATTCAAGAAAGGAGGCCTGCCTGATCAGAGACCGGGCCGTGGGGACGTTGAGCCCCAAAATCAACTCAAGGTAACCCCACTTAAATATTCACTCCCCTCTGTTCCTGCTTCCATCTCTCTCCCATCCATGAACCATAAACCCCTCTCTCCCTCCCTCATTTCTACCCTTCCTGCATGCTACCTCTCATCCGCCTTCCTCCCTCTCTCTCACTCCCCTTTACAACGCCTACAAAAAGATTATTAAGAAACGTCTTGCTCAATATGTTTTTTGTTATTGTCGTTTCAAGTGACCAGCATTTCTCACCAGATGACCACACACACACACACACACCGGCCTCAAGCAGTCCTCACTCACCTCAAAGGTTACATTAGACCGGCTAATTTTGTCGTCACTATTCACTATTCAGTCTCAAGTTTGGTTAAAATTTTCTTTTTATTTCATTAAATATTCTTGAATAAAATTATACCAATAACAATATTTTTGATAATTTTAAAGTTTCTACGCTCATTTGCATATATTTAAGATTATGTTGGTAAATCAACAGCCAAGATGTTCGAAGATCTCTGAACCTAATTTTCGGTTCAGGATTATTCAAATGGTCAGTCCAGTTTATTAAACATTTTTAGAAATGTTGCAGCCTATTTCAATACGTGTTATTAGCAGCTGTTACCAGAGTACATTTTGGAGTGATTTGTCATGTAGATTATCAATCTGGCGCAATAGTGGTGATTGATCTGTCTTGACGAGGCTACGAGCGTCTCTATGTTTCGCCTTGAGTGTTCTGAATGCTAGTCCGGCCACTAATCATGTACGAAAACGTGATGACTGCACCAGAATTGGAACCTGTGCTGTCAGGGCTCACCCCATTAGCTACATATAATACTAATACCACTCCACCAGCACAGCGCAGCATAGCACAGCGCTGTTATTGTATTTTTTGGTGGGTGTTTTTCATAAGGCCATTAATTTAAATTAATTACGCAGCGTTTCAGACAAGCAAATCACGGTCTTCACAAAATTAGCTCATGACTGTGATACATCAAAAGAAACATGTGAGAATTATACGAGCTACAAATGACAACAACAGTAATGGTACCAGATCATTAAAATAGGCATGACAGTCCTCTAAACTCATCAGAAAATAACATATTTACATGACGAGAATAGCCTATTTTGCCTGAAGATTAAACTATACAACCGTGATAAATGTTGTGTATACAGCCTAAATACAATATCATTTGCTAGCCTAAACCAGAAATATACGAACCTAAGCAACCCACTCATAACCTATCAAGGCCGATGCATAGAGAACGTAATATCAGGGTGCTTTAATTGGTACCAAAAGGTCGCATTTTTAACGGTTTGGTCGGTTGCGTAAAAAAGTGGGACGTATATGGTGAGATAATGTGTTGTCAACAGAAAAGCTACGGAGGCTTATAACAGACTCATGAAATGTTATGATGGCATATAATAGGCTCAGGAAATGTTACGGAGGCATATAATAGGCTTAGTAAATGTTATGGAGGCATATAATAGGCTCAGAAAATGAACCAGGATGATATAGCGTTCTAGCCACTTGGTTCGGGCTGAACACGAGGTAGAGCGAGTAAAGTAATTCATTCTCAAGAGTAAGTGTGAGTACAAAGCACTTGGAAAGAATTCGAGGATAGGATAAGAGCTGGGATAAAGGGATGGAGTGCAGGAACGGTGCCCAACCACTTGAACCATCGGGGATCGAACACTGGCCCTGCAAGAAGCGAGGCTTGTCGCTGTACCGACAATTCCAAGTGGATGGACCGACAAATATAAATCAATATTTTCTTCCTATCCTGTCTTCCTTCTTCTCAAGCTTCATTCCTTATTCCCTTCACCGTCGCTATCTCTCTCTTTTCCATCATCTTTCTCACTTCTTTCCCACTCTCTATTCCTGGGAAACTAGTGAAGGGTAGGGATGGTTGTGAAGGGTATGCAAGACTGGGAAGGGAATGGTAGTGAAGAGTAATGATGGTGGTGAAGGGTAGGGAAGGTTGTGAAGGGTATGAAAGGTAGTGAAGGGTAGAGATGGTTGAGAAGGGTAGGGAAGGCTATGAAAAGTAGGGAAGATGGTGAAAGGTAGGGAAGATGGTGAAGGGTAGGGAAGATGGTGAAGGGTAGGGAAGATGGTGAAGGGTAGGGAAGATGGTGAAGGGTAGGGAAGATGGTGAAGGGTTGGGAAGGTGAAGGGTTGGGAAGGTGGTGAAGGGTACGGAAGGTGGTGCAGGGTACGGAAGTTTGTGAACTGTACGGAAGGTGGTGAAGGGTACGGAAGGTGGTGAAGGGTACGGAAGGTGGTGAAGGGTACGGAAGGTGGTGAAGGGTAGGGTGCCATGATGAGATAGTTACTTACCTCCTTCCCTCGTCTCTTAACAGCCCCGGCCTACCAATTAGACGAAGCTCGTCTTGTGGCATCTGGGATGTGTAGGAGGCTGTGTTGAGTACACATCTGGGATGTGGAGGCCGGAGCGTGCTGCTGTGAGCAGCTTCAGTAACCGCTCAGCCTTCGCAGTGGACGGACCTATAGTGACCTTTTCGGGGGACTATTTTTTTCCCCCGCTCACATTAATGCAGTGTGCAGTTTCGCTACGAAAAGTGCTTTTACGTATTGGTATGAACAACTGTTTCTTTTCATATTGTTAGTAACTGATGAAGAATGATCTTGTGTGCGGGCATTTCAGCGAAGTATGACAATTTTCAGTATTACAATGTCTGTCGCAAGTAAATGTCTACTGACGACTGCAGAGAAAGTGATTATCGTTCACTATGCAGTAATTGTGATCCTGATTGTAAATAAATTTGCCAATCGTGTCCTGCCGGTGGAAAAGGGAGGGGGAGGGGGGAGATTGTTGGGGAAATAATTGTATTTCCTCTTATTTCTGAAACATGAAGCTTAAGATTTAAAATAAGCTGAGTTAGACTGAGCTCGTGGCCAGAGGAGATGATTTAGATTTAAATTTTAATTCTTATTTTAAAATTTAAACATTTAAAGAGTTTAAATAACGATTTACATTCTTAATTATGTACCCTAGAGTAAAAAAAATGAAACAGAATTTGATTTGTATCTAGCGGATTCATTAAACTGTTATGATGTAGTTTGTTTCTGATCAATGTCATTTACTCCAGACAAGAGTAGAGCGGATACAAGTCACTTCTTATACAAGACGATTCACCAACGAATGTTAAAACCTCCCTAACCTAGGGCCTAGGGCCTCGTAGCCTGGTGGATAGCGCGCAGGACTCGTAATTCTGTGGCGCGGGTTCGATTCCCGCACGAGGCAGAAACAAATGGGCAAAGTTTCTTTCACCCGGAATGCCCCTGTTACCTAGCAGTAAATAGGTACCTGGGAGTTAGTCAGCTGTCACGGGCTGCTTCCTGGGGGTGGAGGCCTGGTCGAGGACCGGGCCGCGGGGACACTAAAGCCCCGAAATCATCTCAAGATAACCTAACCCAACCAGATTAGACAGCCTAACGAGGTTAGTAGAACCGTCTTTGTAAAATGTGAAGATATCCCTGTGAAAACCCCTCCCAAGCCAGATAAAAAAAAAAATCCATAGGTTAAATGGCTACTGCAATATTATTTTTAATTTAGAGAATGACACTTGTTGGCGAAAAAGAGTTCATTCAGTCCAAGCGATCATGATAAGTTGACCAAACTACACACTAGAAAGTGAAGGGACGACGACGTTTCGGTCCGTCCTGGACCATTCTTACAATCGACTTGAGAATGGGTCCAAGACGGACTGAAACGTCGTCGTCCCTTCACCTTCTAGTGTAACATATATATTTTATCAGAGCAATATATTCATAATTCATAACAACAGAGTCAGAGGTTCACTTATCCTTAAGCGTGGGTCGGCGTTAATCGATGTTGAACAAGGTCGTGTATAAACGACCATAAACCAACATAATACGGCATAAATCGACCGTAGTGCGAGCGTGTGTACCCTCTCTCAGTAGTCAGGCCGGAGTCATGGCGTCCGTCTTCTGTCCTCAGCGGGAGAGAAAAGAGAGATTATCGTGTTATTTAATTATACGCAGCACAAGACCCCCTTCCCTGTGATGAGCATGGGTCAACAACGTTAATTCACTTGGGTATTATAACAACTAGTTAATTTATTGTAACCATAGACTGTAAATTATAATTAGAGATCAATTTAGTCTCTGAATTGTTTACTGTGGTGCGAGTCGGGGCGGCGCTGCCTTCCTTGCCTGTGGGCGGCTTCTACTGATTAAACAACACAGATATAAATTATGCATTAATATGCTAATTAGGCTTAAAATGAGAGTAACCTTCATAAAGTTTGAGTTTAATATTGTATATTAAACGCTGTATAATTCAAGTTATGTGGAAATTATTTACCATAGCACATGTATCAACCAATTCACGATTGGTTGAAATTACAATTAACACTTTGCTCCATTCCAAATATTTCACAATGAGACGAAAAGGAATACAATAATGAACATAATATTCCTGAACGCAGAATATATAAGCTTATTTAATAGTAATAAATGAATTTTGCCTGTGAGATACGTATTACTAACAAATTAATATAAACAAGAGTTCTTTTAAACTTTAGAAATTTCGCAGGCGGAAAATGGTGAATTACAGTGAATGGTAAAGGAGATATGATAATGATTTTAAATATCTATTTATGAAATTAATTAAAACAAATAAAACTGATTAGCGTGAAAGCTGTCCTCACACACTTCAATATTCTGTAATTTTGATGCTTAACCAAATCGTCAAAAATCAGAGGTTTTAATGTAACAAATTAAAAGCACTGTAATAATGACGTGATATAGGATTGTGCTGTGACATTTTCTTGTTAGGTTAGGTTAAGTTAGGTTAGGCTAAGTTAGGTTAGGTTAAGTTAGGCAAGGTTAAGTTAGGCAAGGTTAAGCTTGGTAAGGTTAATTAAGTTAGGTTAGGTTAAATTAGGCTTGATTAGGTTAGCTTAGATTACGTTAGATTAGACTTGGTTAGGTGAAGTTCGATCAACTTTGGTTAGTTTATATTACATTAGGTTAGCCTAGATTACGTTAGATTAACCTAGGTTACGCTAGATTAGGCTAGGTTAGGTGAGGTTCGATCACCTTAAGTTAGTTTTAAGTTACATTAAGGTAGGTTAGGCTACCAAGGTTTAAGGGTTTCAGGTTAGGAAATACCACTTCAAATCAGACGACGAGACTAAGATAATCCCGCCATCTGGAGTACAGATCTTAGAAGCTGGTAACCGCTAAAAATGGCGTCTTGAACATACGAAGAAAGAGTGAAAGCACTGGTCATTCTCGCAGGCAAGTCACTCTAGTCTGCATTAGAACAAGGTATCTGCCACCGCAAATTCGTTATTAAGAAAGAAGGCGCTTGCTAGCGACTAACAACAAACTAGCCTAGCTTCCTAGTGATTAACGACTAACTAGTCTAACTTCCTAGTGTTTATCGGCGAATTTAGGTACCTGGGTACCAATAAACAAACTACTGTTGATTAAAAAAATCTTAACTCTGTTTTTTCTTTAGGCATATTCGACAAAGACAAATTAGACTTGATGCACGTAGCCTCGTGATGTCAGATGCCACAAGTAGCTTGGTGAAGTCACAGGTCACAAGTAACCTAGTGACATCCAGGTAACCTAGGGATGGCATAGGTAACCTAGTGACGTCACAGGTAACCTAGGGATGCCATAGGCAACCTAGTGACGTCACAGGTAACCTAGGGATGCCAGAGGTAACCTAGTGACGTCACAGGTAACCTAGGGATGTCATAGGGAACCTAAGGACGTCACCAAAGACCACAAGTATCCTCGCGAAGTCACAGAAGGCCACAAGTAGGCTGGTGACGTCGACAGAACTTGTATGTCAAAGCTTACAAGGCGATTTAGACAACTTTAATTAATATTAAACTGGACTAATAAGTGTCAAACGGCCACCAGCCTACGTGTACCGTAAGGAACTGGTCTACAAACACCTCTGTTATTTATTTTATTATTTGTATTTACTGGTCTCGATTTGCAGAATCGAGTTATTAGCTCTTGGACCCCGCCTTTCTAACCAATCTTTAAATTTTTTCCTCTGTGATGTCTACTACATAATTTTCTCTTACACACGCACATATAAACACACACACACACACATTCCCAGGAAGCAGGCCGTAGCAGCTGTCTAACTCCCAGGTACCTATTTACTGCTAGGTGAACAGGAGCATCAGGGGAAATAAAACTACCCAAGTGTAGTTACAGGATGAGAGTTACGCTAACCCGTCCTCTTGGAAATTACGTCTTTTTCGCTCGTCTGCGCACTCAGGCTAAAAAAAAGACGTAATTGAAAATGGAATCGGCTTGCGAAAGTGACGTACTGTCCCGTTTTCTGTTTTGGGTCCTCTGGCTTAGGCTGCTCTTAGGTTAGGAGAGGAAACTTTCAATTAACGGGTTTCATGACGTTTTGAAACCTTAGGAGAACTTCTTGCCATCTTAACCTACCAGAGGACCTTTAACTTGCTGTTTTGAAAAAAAAAATCCAAAATTTATTGACAATTATTTTTCATTTTCAAATAAATGACAACAATGATTGGCAACTGCAGAAGGAAAAAAAGCGAACTGATTTCCTGAACATGCCATTCTGACATTCTGAATCCCCCCCCCCCCCCCAAAAAAAAAAAAATCGGTGATAGTTCCCAAATTCCAGACATTTAAGGTGTCTGGAATTAAGTACGTGGTCGTACAAACGACCGTACGACCACGTACGGTCGTTTCATTATCACCAAGACGATATCGATGATATCGCTCGACCTTCACTTGCAAACGAAGTAACGGAGAGACAGGTGTCGAGTGGGACTCGAACCGCCTCTCTTGACCTCGAAGCAAACTTGAGTTTTACTGGCGGGTTATCTGTACTTGTCTATTTGACGAGGTCAACCACAGTGGTACGCTTGAGTTATGTTCACACACACACACACACACACCATGATCCACTGGGACAGCAGCTGGTGGCATCTGGTAACCCCACCATTGTTGATTCTATTCAAGGTTTCTATATCCAGATTACAATAATTATATTCAGCTGCTTGAGGTAACAATGTTGTATATAATTGTTACTTATGTGTGTGTATGTTACTCGCATATGGATACTATTGTTGATAATATTCAGATAAACATTTAGATATATGTTTACTTTCCAACATCCGTTTCGTATGTTAATATATCCACGTCTTCCTCAGCTGTGTTGACCTATTTAGGCTATCAGCTTCATTTGTGTAAATTATACTAGGTTATATTAATCCATCCATTTACCAATCTGTTTATTCATTCATTATCCTATCCATCCAGTCATCTTTATATCCATCCATTCATCTTTATATCCATCCATCCTCTGTTTCGTCCAACTATGCCTTCATTAGCCAAGCAGGATAGACGGAGGGCAGTTTAGACAGGAGCAGCGGCCTAAGAAGCTCACAAAATGGTAACATACCTAGGAACAGGTTTTAAGCTGGAACGGGAACTTCCCCCTTATCAGTACCGCCAAAACCAGTATTGTACTAAACGTACGTATGTGTGTGTGTGTGTGTGTGTGTGTGTGTGTGTGTGTGTGTGTGTGTGTGTGTGTGTGTGTGTGTGTGTGAAGGTTAAGTCCCATGTCTCCATGAGCCCATTCTCTTCTAACACCCTATTAATTGGTATGTGGGCCTGCGGGCCGCTCCAAGCAACAGCCTAGTGGACCAAACTCTCACAAGTCAAGCCTGGCCTCGGGCCGGGCTTGGGGAGTAGAAGAACTCCCAGAACCCCATCAACCAGGTAACCCTAACCTTCAACAGCTACACTACTCCCTATTCCAGTATCCATAGCTACAATGCCTTCACTCCCCCATCACCCACAACTGTACTACCAACAATAATTCCGTACAAGATTTTGAGGGGAATAGATAAAGTAGATAAAGGAAGCCTATTATAATTATCCTGCGGAGGGTGACCAATGAACTAGCAGAGTAGAAGAGACCTGTGCTGCTAGCACAGAATCCTTATCTGAAGATACGAGAAACAACATTGATTAAAGGAAAAATGTTTGGAAAGGAATAACTTTATGTGCTTTAAATACAGGATCTGTAACGTGTGGGCCCAAATCCTTAACTGTAGCCTCTGTTTAACTCAACAGTAAAATGAGTACTTGGTTGTAAAAACGATTCTTCGCGGCGGGGATCGTATTCCAGGGACCTGCCCGAAACGCTACACGTACTAGTGGCTGTACAAGAATGTAACAACTCTTGTATATATCTCAAAAAAAAAAAAAACTTACCTTAGGAGGAGCTATTCCTGGTATTAAAAGTGGCAACTCTACTGCTTCGGGGAAGGATGGAGTAACATGACATTCTTGATTATTTAGTAGGTATGAAACCTGGTTCTTGATTTGTGTAATATGATTTATAGGGAGGGAAAGGTACCAAGAAAAATAGGAGGCTGTCATCATTCCTATACCCAATTCATCGGGTCGGAATCCTACTACTACTCCTCTACTACTACTTGTATAGTACTACTCTACTTGTAGAGTCCTACTCTACACGTACTCTACTTGCAGAGTAGCCTATCAGAGGTGTATCTTCCACAGATCATGGCGACCATATGTGATGATGATATTCTTATTCAATACAAACCGCTCTTAACATAATATATTTGAAACACCCTGTCACAGGTTAGGTTAAGCTTAAGCGAAGAGAAAAACCCAATATGAACATAAATACTCTGAAATATAACACTCGAAATGCCAAGGAACTGAACTGTGTCCAGCAGCATAAGTATTTGAGCACGTATATTTGATACACATACGAGAGTAAAAACTCTTGAAATATATTCCCGCCCGTTCTCAAGGTAAATTCATTACAACGAGACACAACCCCCTTCCTTACTACAACCACATTACTCTCACCCACAATTACACAACCTTAAAAAAAAAATATCCAATAGCCTCACCCACACAACTTACACCCCATACCTACAACTAGCCTCACCCCTATAATCTGCAACTGCATTACCTCAACCCTCACACCACAGCCACACCACCTCCACCCCACAACTTCACCACCACCACCCACAACCAACACCCCATCACTAAGCCGAATGATCACTATAATGAACCCGGATTTGCACAAATTATTACCTCTTTTTGTCTCTTATTTCCGTCCTAAAAACCAGCCCGGCCTCATAAACAAAGGCCAAATGCTCGTTAAAACGGCCACCAAATTCCCCGTTTATGAATAAAAAAAATCACTCTACACACGATTCACAACTGATGACGTTCGAACTATTCTCAAACCTCTGTTCGAATCGCCCCTCCCTAAATGCTTCACCCACGTCATACAAAAGCAAGAACCTAAATACCTGACATAGCCTATTCACACAATTTAATTTTGCAATAATATTAATTTATATATACATATATATAAGAAAAATAAATGTTGAATACACAGACCGTTAATATTGACGACTGCCTTTGGGGTGAGCCATAGGATGAGCCATAACCTAAGGTCAGGTGACTAAAAAACGAAAAATATACCCGAAAACCTTTTTGAAAACCAAAAACCAAAATGGTGGCCAGGCTAATGTAAACATTGTGCTCCCAAATTAAATCCCCCCCCTATTTAACCAATACTTAATGGAGATACCGCTACTGTCATTACTACTACGGACTAGGCTATTGTTAGTAATAATAATAATAATAATAATAATAATAATAATAATAATAATAATAATAATAATAATAATAATAATAATAATAATAATAATAATAATATACAAAAAATGATTCATACCTGGAAACAAAGACAAATATATTATCTAGCGTAACGACCCGACGGTAATCACCTCACCAGGCTCACGCGAGGCTTGCTGATGACTGCGGAACTGGTCTCAAGATATAGGAGGGGTCATTGGAAGGTCAACGGAGGGGGGGGGAGATGTTCCTTGGGGAGGGAGAGATTGTAGGTGAGGGAAGAATTTTAGGTAGCGGGAGAGGGGGGGGGGAGTGGAGATTGTTGATGGGAAAGCGGGGAGATTGTAGTGGTGGGGGGTAGGTAGGAGGAAGGAAAGGGGGGGGGGGGTAAGAAATATGGTATGGTAAGCTTGAAAGATAAGAAGGTGAAGAAGAGGTCGGTTAATTTAGCTCCGAACGCAAATGGAATGAAACTCAGCATTATAGGCCTACTGGTCCATACGAGGTCAGAATTATCACTAGTCGAGGCCTGCTGGACAACGCCCACCCTCACTTTGACGCGTTCATTAACTCATGCGTTCATTTCCTAACGGTGCGTTCACTGGTATTGACTCATTCGCTGGTAGCCCACGGCGCGTTCATCGCTGGATAATATTAAGGGAAGCCTAATATTTGTGGGGTGTTTTGCAGATCCACTAAGGCGGCGCCCCCTCCCCCCCCTCTTTCACCATCATCCTAGGGGAGGGGTTGGAGGTGAATGGGTGGGTGGAAGTGGGGGGGGGGGGTAATAGTGAAGGTGAAGGAGTACAGGTGTGGGAGAGGAAGAGCTCGTGGTATAGGGGTCATGCGAAAAGGTTGGAGGGGGGGAGGGGGGAAGTAGGGGGTCGTGGGAAAGTTTTGGGGGAGCGGGGGGGGGGGTGAGATACTGTTGTGTTGACTGTTTCGTCAACGGTAAGATATGACTGTTGACCAAACCACACACTAGAAAGTGTAGCGATGACGACGTTTCGGTCCGTCGTGAACCATTCTCAAATCACAATCGACTTGAGAATGGTCCCGGATGGACAGAAACGTCGTCGTCCCTTCACTTTCTAGTGTGTGGTCTGGTCAACATATTTCAGATACGTTATTGTGACTCCTCGT